AAAGTTCTCTCCAAAATTTCCCAGTAAAAACGGGATCACGATCACTGACTATACTGACGGGCATTCCATGAAGTTTAAACACCTGTGCCATGAAGAGTCTAGCAACATTCGTGCAGAGTAGGGATGTGCTAAGGCCATAAAACGATCATATTTGGATAATCGATCAACCACCACGAAGATCACAGACTTCCTTTCTGAGATCGGCAATCCTTCAATGAAGTCCATGGCCAACTCTGACCAAATCCTCTCTGGAATCGGTAGTGGCTGAAGGAGCCCTGGAGTGGGAACATTTTCAGCCTTGTGTCTTTGACAAGTTTCATATTCTCGTACCCAATTTCTGACTTCCTTCCTACTCCCCTTCCTGTAACACAAAGTCTGCAGCTTCTTCCAAGTTTTATGGTACCCGGAATGTCCACCAGTTACTGAACTGTGAATCTCATCAAACAACTTCCGTCTATACGCCGGCCGAACTTGGGCTATGTACAATTCTGCCTTTCCTCCAAACCAGTCCATTCTTGAAATAGTATTTATTGTCGGCATGCCGCATGCCTTCCATTGGCTATTTCTTGGCAAGTTGCTGTAAAAGCAGGACCTTTGGAAGTTTCCATTCGAATATCTTCCACCCAGCTCGGAATGGGATTAGAAATGGCATAGAACTCCGGCCCCACTAGCCTTCTTGACAAGGCATCAGCTGCTATATTATCTTTCCCCTTCCTATAGCAAATCTCATAATCATAACCCAATAACTTCCTAAGCAATTTCTGTTGAGTAGTAGTAGTGACCCTCTGTCTTGAGATAAAACCCAGACTCTGATGATCTGTCCTAATCAGAAATCTGCTTCCCAATAAAGTAAGAACGCCACCTCTGTACTGTTGAAACCGACAGCCAAGAGCTCTCTGTCATAAGTTGAGAGCTCCCAATGCTTTCCATGCAATGCTTCGCTAAAATAAGCAATGGGATGGTATCCTGGTGAGAGGACAGCCCCGATTCCTCCGCCACTGGCATCAGAGTCGACAAATGGTTCCCCAAAGTTCGGCATTGCCAACACGGGTGCTGTGGTCAAGGCTATTTCCAGTGTTTTAAAAGCTTCCTCGGCCTCATCTTCCCAACTCCAATTCTCCTTTCGTAATAGCTGAGTAAGTGGATCAGCTATCTTGCCAAAATCTTTCATGAATTTCCGGTAAAAGCTTGCCAATCCCAAGAGTCCTCTCAATTTTGTAACAGATTTGGGTTGTGGCCATTCCAACACACCCCGCACCTTCCCTGGGTCCATTTCCACACCTTTGAAAGAGACCAAGTGGCCAAGGTACGCCACCTGCTCAACTGCAAAACCACACTTGTTTCTATTTGCAAGCAACTGGGGGTGTTGTAATGCTTCAAAGACCCGTCTCAGATGTTCATAATGCTCCTGCATGTTCTTGCTATAAACTAACACATCATCGAAAAATACTAACACAAATTTGCGCAGAAATTTCCTGAAGACTTCATTCATTGGCGTCTGAAAAGCAGCAGGCGCATTAGTCAATCCGAAGGGCATTACTAAGAACTCATAATGCCATTCATGCGTTCTAAATGCAGTTTTGTGGATATCCTTCTCTGCCACTCGGATTTGATGATATCCACCCTGGCTCCAAGCAGTTTCGTCAAGCAATTCATCAATGATAGGCATAGGATATTTGTCTTTTAAGGTGATTTGATTCAATTCCCGTTAATCAACACACATCCGCCATCCATCATCGATCTTTCTTTTTCACCAGTAAAACTGGTGAAGAGAAAAAGCTACAGCTAGGTCTGATGATTCCCTGTTTTAGCATTTCACGGACAATTTCTTCTATGATATTCTTTTGAAAATGGGGATATCTGTAAGGATGTGCCTTCACCGGTTCTCCTTCAGTCTTCAGAGGAATGGAAGGGTCATGTGTCCGCCTGGGATGCAACCCTTCCTGCTCCTTAAGCACCTCAGAGAACTGTTCTAACATTCTTTGAATTTCAGGATTCTGATGCTTGGTTTTCCGGGCCTTTTGACCATGAACAAAAATGCAACAGAGACATCTGACTGGCTGCAGTAAAACTTCTCGGTACGTCATTGGCTTCTACTATTCTGGGTTCTAGTTCCTTTAATCCAGCAAGAGTATGCACTCCTCTTCCATCTGTGTATTGCAACGTTAACGCAGCAAAATCCCATGTCACAGGTCTTAGAGTCATAAGCCATTGAGCTCCCAACACTGCGTCACAGCCCCTGAGAGCAAGTAAATAGAAATCTGCAATGATGACAGAGCCATGGGAATGAATCTGTAATCCCTGACACCTTCCCACTCATTGCAAGCTCTCCCCATTTGCCACCATTACTTGAAAGTGGGTGTCTGCTGTCACTGGTATTCCTACCCTTAGACCACCTTCGGGTCTATGAAGTTGTGAGTCGACCCACTGTCAATGAGCACCGTGAGTCGCTGGGACCCCAAAGCCCCTTCGATTCTCATAGTCTGGCGAGCTCGACCCAAATATGGCTTGTAATGATATTTCTGGTGTGTCTGCTCCTCTGTTGTCACTTCCTGAGCCTCCGGATCCTCAACTTCCCCTTCTTCTTCTTCAATTTCGTCTGTTGTAGTCACCACCCAGAAGAGAAGAGCTTGGGATTTTTGCAGCGATGTTGAGGGGTATATTTTTCATCGCAATTGTAGCATAATCCGTTCTCTAGCTTCTACTTGAGTTAATCTTTTGACCCTCCGACAAACCCCTTTTGGCCCCCTCCTATGTGAAGGACCCACACGATGCCTATCAAACTCTGCTCTACCAATTCTTCATCTAGCAAGGCATGCTTCTTCTTCCAGTAACACCAACCGAAAGGCTCTGGGTAGTGTTTGAGGTTCAAACTGCTCCACTCCAACCCGGATCTCTGTTTTCAAACCAGCAACAAATACCTCGACCAGATACTCCTTTGAGAAGCCCTTAACTCGACTGGACAGCCTCTGGAATTCCTCCTGGTAAGCCATCGCACCGTGGTCGTCTGCATCAATTTTTCCAGAGGATCTACATGTTTCCCTCCCTGTGGACCGTCGAACCCGGTATCCAGGGCAGCAACAAACTGGTAACAAGTGGGGGTGCGGATGATAATCACGATACCGGCTGTACCACTCAATCGTTGGTCTGTCGAACCCCAGGCTTGCAACACTCACCCATTGTTCCTCCTGGATCTCTTGTAGTTGGAAGTACTGCTGCAGGAGGAGCAGCCATCCATCTATGTTGCTTCCCCCAAAACGAGGTAAATCAATCTTCAGAATACCTCTGCAATCCACTCTCTGAGCCGCCTGCCTGGTATGAACCTTTTGTTCCACGGGAATATTCCCCCATGGAAGCTCAACGGTATAGGATCCTCCTGTCCTCCACCTTGTGGTTGGAGTTGATTCAGCCGCTCAAGGATCTCCGCTAGACGGATATTGGTTTCATCTTGTCGCTACTGAACCTCCTGTCCCCACTCCACAAAACTGATTCCTTCTTCTCACCCGGCCTGACATTCTTTCACCCCGGGCACCAGACGACTATGATACGAAAATGTTATGAACTTCTCCTCTCTGGCGAGAGGAAAGAGAAAGGTTTCCCCGAGCTATAATGGTGAAGGGCACCGCTCAAAGGGGACGTGTAAGATGGGTTCGCATCCGCCCCCCACAGAGTTGCCCTTCAAATACATCCCACGCGTTGTGGGCGCGCGCCACGTGTTCGATCACACGCGAAATAAAGAGACTCGTGCGGAGCTCATACGACGGCCGTTAGTTCCCTCTCGCCCAAAAGGGCATCATCCCCTTATCCTCTCAGACCTGAAACTCTCTACCTTCTGTAATCTGCCGGAGATTGCTCTCTTCGAGTTCCGCTGGTCGACGCCGATGACCGTTCCGGCAGGAGGTAAGTATCCCTCGACCTTCCGTAATCCATTCTCTTTCTCCAATTTAAAACCTGAAAGCCTCCACCTTCCGTAACTCTACATCTATGTTTGATGTTTATGAGACGACTGAAACTGCATCTACACACTAGTGTGATTTCATGCTTTTATATATTTCTGTCAATCCACTTGAAATGCTGCTGCTAATTATTTATTGGGATACACAAACGTTAGATTAGTCGTCTTCAAGTAAGGACAGTTACAGCCAACACCCGCACCTTCAGTCTCCTCACTGTTTCTCGGTTTTCGCAGTGAAGGGTGGCCTTGATCTTCTGCACCGTACAAGATATGAGGTTATTGACGGTCTCAACCGACTCCATGGTGAGCTCAACCGTTGGCAGATTATTGACTAGTATCTGAAACGTCACCGTCGTAGTCCGGTTTTCAAACATTTGGCATGCATGTGGAGTAGTACAGTAAGAAGCGCCATTAACTCAGAGATGTCTTTGCTAAACAGGTACGGGTCTGCGGCAACTGAATCTTGATCTTCTCTATTTTTTTTTTTTTTATGCTGACAATGTCAGTATAGAATTTATATTTACTAGATAAAAGGTATCACCCATATGGCCCAGCCCATATGCGCCAGGATAGGTATTGTTATTTTTGAAAAAGAAAAATCAAAATCGAGTTTAATTTCAAACTTAAGAGTTTTTTTGGTTCGTTTCCTTTTTTTTTTAATTTTCAATTCAATAGTGTTAGTGAAAAGGAAAAGACACCTTAGTCCAAACAACAATGGGCCTTGGGCTCTCTACCTAAAAGACAAATGCAAATATTCTTCTGTCTAATTTGAATTTTGAGATTTTTTTTTTCTTTATACGTTGAATCTCCCTGGTTTGAACACGTGGGGTTAGATGGAGTAGAACTGTAGAAGCTTCGAATGGGAACCAGTTCACGCGTAATTTTTGAAAATGTTTTTTAAAAATATTTATTATTTGTTATTTTTATATAACATTATTATTACTATTATTATATTTTTTATTAAATATATAATATAATTATGTGAAAAGTATTATTTATATGAAAGTAAAATGAGGATTAAAAATATCATTTACACCGATATAAATATTGTGTGAAAAGTAGCTCACCAACCACTTGTACGTTTTGTTACTCTACTTTTTGAAGTGATCAATGAAGGGGCATTACTACAACAACTTCAACAGAAAGGCCCTGAACATATTATCGAAGCTTCATCACGTTCTACTACAACAACCACCACATCACATTCTAATTCTAATACAACAACACTTGAATGAAGGGGCATTAAATTACGACAACACACAAAACCATCACATCACATACAGTAACTAGACCTCTTAATAATTATTTTCTCAAGGTGGGAATGACGACGAGAGGGGTTTCTTTCTGGAAACCCACCCCAAACCTATCGGCCATGTCTAACTCATCTTGGTGCATCCCGCCAGGAAGGCTCCAATCAAAAGTGTGGACAAGAGCAGCAAGTATCAGTCGAACAACTCGGGTTCCCAATGACATGCCAGGACACATTCTTCTGCCAGCACCAAAGGGTATGTACTGGAAATGGTTGCCTTGGTAATCAACTTCTGAATTCAGAAAGCGTTCTGGCAAGAAAGAATTGGGGTTATCCCATGTGGTGGGGTCTCTTCCAATTGCATATAAGTTAACCAACACTTCGGATCCCTTTGGAATCGTGTAATTCATCACTTCACAACTTTCCAATGCTATGTGAGGAATAAGGAATGGGACCGGAGGGTGTAACCTGAGGGTCTCCTTGACACAGGCATGGAGATAAGGTAGGTTAGGCAGATCAGAGTCCTTCACAGTGTTGTTTCTTCCGATTACCCTGTCGAGTTCCTCGTGGAGCTTCACCAGCTTCTCTGGGTTCCGCAGCAGTTCTGCCAATGCCCATTCAATCGTGGAGGCACTAGTGTCTGAACCAGGTCCAAACGTTTCCTGCCAAAAAAAGTAGAATCATCAGTTCTTGTTAATTACTTAATTATAAGCTAGCTAGATAGCTAATTAATATATATTTGTGTTGTAAATTAAATCCTCTTCTTTTCTTTTAATTCCTTGGCAATATCTTGGGCCTGAGACTGTTAGAGGCGTGTAGCGTTAACTCTTCTGAGCACACACAAGTGGAAACTTGAGAAGAATGACAGATTGGGGGATTATGTAGAGAGAGAGAGAGAGGCAAACCAGAAAAATGGCGTCAATCTGGGGATCACTGAACCCAGAATCTAGCAAAACTTGCAATAAATCGTTCTTGGTGTGGTCATTATTCTTCCTTCTTTCATTAATAATGGCCGCCCAAGACTCACTCATCCGCTTGACACAAGCTGCCGATTCCTTCCTCAGTCCCTGAAAGTCTGATCCGTCAAAAAATATTGGGTAGAGGTCGGCTATATTTGGGGTGGCTGCCAATATCATCAGCTGCCGAATCATGCCCTTCATACCCAAGTTAATATCCGTCTTGTCTTCAAAATCATACACGTCTTTAGAGTATATAAGTGCACCCAACATGTTCAAAATACAACCGAATATCACATCAACAAAATTCACCTCCTCTCCTTCCTTCCGTCTGAGAAATTTCATCAGTTCCGATACTTTCTCCTCTCTGACGTGTGCGTGAACGTCCAACATCTTAGTAGAGAACAATTCAGTCCTCAATATCTTCCTGACCATCTTCCAGTAATCAGTGCAATCAGCCCACACCATGGAGTATTCGATATAGCCCTTAACTCGGACGCTGTTTGCTTTAAACCGGCCTGAAAGCACGCGGTCCTGGTTCTTGAGCACCTCCATGGCTGCAACATGGTTTGAAGCCACAACAACGTTCTCAAACCCAAATCTGAAAAGCATCAGTGGACCATATCTCTGTGCTAATTTGAATAGCTCCAAATTGGGCTTCATCGTCGGGCTGGGCAACTGGGTTCCTATAATTGGCCATGAAAAGGGTCCTGGAGGAAGCTTCTTAGAAGATGGTTTAAGGAAGAGTACTAGTGAGAGAATGGACAGTAAGAAGAGAATAAACAAGGCTAGTAGAGCCATTAGAGTTTATAGAGAAGATGTAATACTAGTCTGTGAAGCAAAGTAGGCTTTGCTCATGACTATATATAGATAAATGATCAAACCTACCAACTTTTGATTTTCAATTAATTTGAATGGCCAGTATCTGATCTCATGGCATTAGATAAGACTAATATAATCACTCTACCTTATACTTTTCCCTTCACCCATTTACATATTATATTCACATTTACACAAAAGAATTTGCCTCAAAACATTAAGGTTCAGTTTGGAAGGAGTATAAATACAAATTTGTAGAGTACAAAAACCTTGCATTTTATATTATCTTGTACATATATATTTGTATTGTATATATTTACATTTGTACTCCTTCCAAATTGAGCTTAATTAATTAGCCATTTTCACGTAAAACTTCCATTCTCATTTTAAATAATTTTTATAAAGTGTTTATTGGATTTCTCCAATTTTTTTTCTTTTCTTGGTTTTTGATATATAGAAACGCTGATGTGCTCGTTTTAGATAAGGTGCTAATTGGGTTGGACATGGGTTGCTTGATGCAAGACAGTGGTCATGGAAGTCGAAATCCGCTAAGGAGTGTGTAATAACTCACCTGCCGAATTAACTAGCCCCGAAAAATAGATGGCGCTGAAGCGCGCGACCCATACCCGGTCGTCGGGGCGATTGCCAGGCCCTGATGAGTAGGAGGGCATGGAGGTCGCTATAAAACCTGGGGTGTAAGCTTGGGCGGAGCGGCCGTCAGTGTAGATCTTGGTGGAAGTAGCAAATATTCAAATGAGACTTCACCCCCATGGACTAAGTTGGCCTAGCTTTAATTAAACAAACAAACTAGGGCAATGTGAAATGATGAAATGTTGGAAAATTAGGGGTCCATTTGGTTTGTAGTAGGAATCAGAATCGGATTGGAACTGAAATCCTCTGGAATCAGAATCGGAATGGTCTATTCCCATAGTCTGTTTGGTTCAAACAGAAATGGGAATGGGAATTGAAATCGGGCAGGAATGGGATTTCATTCCCATGAGAAGGGTAGGAAATGGCTATTCCCTCAAATGGGGGAATGCCATTCCTACATGAATAAAAATGGGATTCCGATTCCATCCACCCAAACAGTTGGAATCAAAGTTCAAAGTATCAGAAACGTCAAGTATATCGGAAAGGCAATTTTAAGAGACGTATCGGGATACACCTTGGATACGCATGCGTATCGGAGAAAAATTAAGATACACTTGGAAACACTTTAAATATTTTAATAAATCATAAAAATACAGCAAAAACACTAAGTATAAGACCTAAATGAGGTCTGTATATATTAAATTAATATATTTTAATGGTTTTACGAAAAAATATATTGTAGTTAATTATAATATCACTAAAAATCCTATGCTTAACTATAATTTATAAATTAGTATTCTTAAGTTTTAATGTTTTATTGGATGGGAAAAACCCAACTCTCCTATCCAACCATAAAACATGCATTGGCACAACTTCTATGTGAAAATATAATTAACAATTATTTATTATTTACTTCCAAAAATTATAAAAAATAAATAAACATTATATAATATATTCAAAAAATTGTTATTAAAGAAGAAATTTCAATTGCTTTGTGGATATGATAGATCATCCATAGAATTATAATATATTCAATCATTGTGATCAAATGATAAATTATAATTAATTAATTATTTATTTATTAATTCTAAAAATAATAATTATTAAAGAAGAAATTTCAATTACTTTATGGATATGATAGATAAATCCATAGATCTAAAATATATTTAGTCTTTATAGGAAGAGAAAAAAATTATATTTTCAAATTTCTTGTTAATTTATATTTTTCCCAAATATCTTCATGAAATTTCTATAAATTTACTAATAACACAAAAAAAAATTGTGATTTTGAATGTAAGAAATGTAGATCAACATAAATTTAAACATTCAAAAAAAATCACAAGATATTATAAAAGAATTGAAAAAAAATTACATATTTTTTAATATTTTTTCAAAATTTGAAAAATCTTAAAAAAAATCTAACGATTAACACTTGTTTGTTGCCAACTTTTGCAAATCTAGCACTATAGGAATGAAGTTTGGAGTTTTAGAGTCATTTGGGGTGAAAGAAGATTTATTTGAGGAAAAAAAAAAGACGCATAAAAAAAGACGAAATGTTTAATTTTCATGCATATCCCAAATTTGTTTTTCAAAAATACGATATCATACGCCCCATATCGAATATATCGTATCAAAATTTTAAACCTTGATTGAAATCCAAATAACCCATTCCTATTCTGAATCAAGACCCTATTCCCACGAGGCCACGATTCTTTTAAATTAACGTCGAACCTCCCTGGTTGTATGCGATAAAACACGTGGGATTTGGTGGAGTAGAAGCTTGGCATGGGTCGTCCAATTCACGCGTAGCTCGTGGGACGACTGACCGTACGACTCTGAAATCTGAATTTGCTTCAATCTGAGGAATAAGAAAAAGGCAAACCAGACGCGTGGCATCTCCAAACAGGGGATCACTCATCACTGAACCCAGAATCAAGCAAAACTTGAAAGAAATTAATCATTGTTGGAGTGGTGCATTATTCTTCCTTCTCTATTTAACAATGGCCGCCCATGACTCCTTCATCCGCTTAACACACGCTGACGATGCCTTCCTCAGTCCCTGAAAGTCTGATCCGCCAAGAATTGGGTAGAGGTCGGCTAGATTTGGGATGGCTGCCAATATCATCGGCTGCCGAATCATGTGCCCTTCATACCCATGTTATTATCCATCCTGTCTTCAAAATATCCTTCCTTCCGTCTGAGAAATTTCATCAGTTCCGATACTTTCTCCTCTCTCGTGTGTGACTCAAGTAGAGAACAGTTCAGTATTACTTAATTACTCCTTTTGCAAAAAGTATTTCTTGTAGGCCAAATTGTCTCTCATTAATCAATTAATTATTTCTGTAATTAATGCATAATTTTAAATTTTAATTTTAATTTTTAGCGCCTGATTAGAATTCTATTCTTATTAATTTCGTTAATAAAAAATCCTCATTCTCATTAAAATCTTTTTGTTGGTATAAAACTACAAACTTAGTGATGAAGGGAAATTTGGCTCGAACTCGCAGTCGCCCGACACGTGGCAATCACGCATATCCTGCATATCCTGCGGGCGGTGGTCTCCATCTACTATTTGGCCATGAAGTTCCCTACGGACTTCGGTGTGGGGGTAGTGCGGGGCGACTAGCTCGAGTCCTGCAAGTGCTACGTTGCCGCCCTAAAGGGCAAGTCCAAGCCGGCCGGCGACCTCGATCTGGAGCGGCCTACGGAGCAAGGCGAAGAACGAGCCTCGCCAACAGAAGAAACAGTCGCGATCCCGACCTCACCTACGGACCCA